CAACTTGTTTTGCTCAGAACTAATGAAGCATGCATTCGTTCTCGATGAAACTTCTACACTAGATAGAGCATCAAAAGTTGTACTAGCAAAAGTAATTTCAGATCGAATCCTTATTTTGTTCCGTACTATTTTTACATTATAGGGAAAATGTAGACCGACTTTTGTTTTTAACTAAATGTAGATAACCATTTTTCGTGAGACTTTTGGCCAAAGCTAAACGAAAACAATACACCAGTCGACTCCTCAGACTGCGGCGAGTTTGATTACCTACTTTTGGAGCTCTAAAATCTATAGTCTTTGCTCAAATAATGGATAATTCTGAAAGTAGAATCACATAACGAAATTCGGACTTTTTAGATTTTAACACTAAAGAATGAAAAAACTTTTCTGCGATTTTTCGGCTTGACGCATTTGCTCACAGTCCCACTGTACTGCTCGAATCATTCTCTGTCGAACGATGTAAAATACATTTATTTCAACCCTTTTTAGAGCAAAATCCTGCCAAAAATTCTCTATGGCAAAAACCGAAAATTGTCTCCCTCCTAACTCAGCCAGTATGAGTCTGGCGGTTAGGAAATTTTTATAGGATACTCGGCAAAGACAGGGGAACAAAACGTACCATTCAAATTTTTTTAATGAACATTTTCATTTTTTTAGCGATTGTACCAGAAAGTTACGTTTCTCTCATATATACGAAACATACGAAAAGAAAACACGCACTCTCTAAAATACATGTAAGCGAACTGCACATAGCAAAAAACGACTCTTAACAATAATAATCTTTATGGACCGAAAAGACAGATATATATATATTCGAGAGATGAAAATAGATCACAAAGGAAAAGAATAACGAAACGAGATCATAAACGAAAAGAATGGAACGAAATAATGTCCTTGCTCGAAATTTTTTTCGTCGGATCACAAGTCCTAAACGAAAAACTCAACTTTTGATATATTGTATTTTTCGCTTATTCGTCAGGGTGACTCGAACCGACATTTTCGACGAAAAGAAGGTTTGAGAATAATTTGTGAATTTACGTAGTTCAGCTTAGTTAAGATGCTGATTATACTATTTATTTTCGATAAAACCGTCAAAATCTGTTTTTACCCTCTAGGGAAAGAGGATTTCCTGCCTTTTTTAATTGTGAAAATAATTTGAAGAAGAACACATTGTTTTTCACAGAACAGATTGCTATCAGGATTTTGTCTCTCATCTCAATAAGTGGTTTTGATTACATATTTGATTTCTGCCCTTCGGTTTTATGGAGACAAGGCGTTACATATGTGTTGCACGAATAGCGGAAAGTTTTTTCCAATCCTTGAAAGTAGGGTTCCTGGAAAACCGTGGTTTTTGCCGTACTCATGTAGAGTAAAATGAGGGCTGGGACATAGTACAGAGTTTGTCTCGAGGTATTTCTAGCTTACATACAAGGCTACAGCTCTCATATCAGCTTATTAGTCTTATTATACTTTCGTACTTTTATATCTGTCACACTTTCAGCCCCTTAAGTGTTTTACTGCCTTTCCTCTTACACCCTTTAGTCTTTTACTATCTTTACTCCTTCTACTTTTCTATTCCACGCGTATCAGAACTATTACACTCACTCTCACTTTATAACTAAAAGGAGTAAAAAATCTGAAGGACATACTCAGTTATCTATCAGTATCACTTTTTCATAACTAAAATGATTTCGGGACACACTTTGTACCTTCTCCCATCTCTAAGCTTTTTCTTTCCGCTCAGCTTTTTTTAAAACGCATTTTACTATACATAAGTAGGGCAAAAAACCACGGTTTTCTGCAAACCCTACTTCCGAGGAACCCCTACACACTGAGTTTTATGATGATCTGATTACGAGTTTAGGAGTTAGTTTTCTCGTGCAACACATCTATTGGACTTTGGATAAACCAACTTCGAATTAGTTTAGCCACTAGAACGTAGTTATCTGTTGGCTGTAATTTCATAGAAAATTTTTTTAACAAACTTTTTTAAATCTTATATGAAAGAATTAGACAGATTTCTATTTTCCACTTTTAGCATCTCAAGTTAATCATCCAAATGTTGGGACTTAATCGATTTTTTCGTGATTTTGCTGCTTTGTTTCACCGAACATATTTATTAAGCATCCGAAAACGAGGTCAGACGATAACCGAGATTCTTTTGGCATGTATTTTTCTTGGCCTGTTATTGGGGCTGCGTTATACAATTGATCGTCGTTCATTATCCAGTTATCAACTAGCACGATTTCGACCACAAGATTTAATGACTCTTAATAAAACATATACAAATCTGACAAATGTAATTTACTATTATCCACCAGGAACATGTACACAGGCAATTGTAACAGCAGCTGTGACAAAATTAACAACAAGTTGGCCAACATTTAGTCCAACAGGTATGCATGCTACTATTAAAAACAGACACAAACAAAAAGTTTCTCTAGGACAAAAGCTGAAGCCGTGCAAATGAGAATTTCAGGATTAAAACGTTGTTCTATGAATCAATCGGCAGGGGCGCCGCAAAGTACAAGTGGGAGGGGATTCTCAGATTTCAGAGTAAATCGTACAACTTTGAAAATGAGAGTCTAATTTGTGTAAACATGCAAGTTTTGACATACAAAACGTTCTGGGGCTCCGTTAAACTTAAAAGTAAAACGTACTGCTTCATTGTCATAACTTAAGCACTTAATTAATCTGAACGTCAAACTTTAGGAATAATGTATACTCAGCGAACATAGGCGTTTTGATACGAAGAGTCTAGCGTCACACCATGGGTTTTCAGAGCAAAGCTGATGAAAGAGAGTAAGAAGAATGCAAAACTTTCAAAATGTAAATCGTAGCAGATTTTCCTGGAAACTAAAAAAAAGAAGAAAATATTGTGGTGTTTACCCTTAAACTGACAATATTTATAATGAGTAGTCAACGATTACTGATTATGCAGCATCAAATCAGAGCTGAGACTCGTTTCTCTTCATTCCCACATACTCTTTATCATACATCGGGTGGCGCTGATTGTTGATCTCACTTCAGAGAAAAACCTTTTCAGATTTGGGTGTGACAGAGTGGGTTCCCCCTTCCTACTCCTGTTGTCAGGGCGTCCCTGTCAATCTGTCAGACTTTCGTTTGAGAAATAGTTGCAAAATGCTTCTCATTCCTTTTAGTTCAAAGTCTTTCATCATCAGATATTGAAAATACTTTATCAACGTCAACTCAACAAAGTCTCTATGCATTTATTTATTTTACGAACGTTGATTCAAGCTGCGCAAGTCCTTCATCTCTACCAGATCAAATACAGTATACCCTAAGAATGCAAGAGTAGGTTTATAGATCTTTGATTTTACGAAGGACAAGATGTTTCTCTTCTAAAATTTAGAAATGGTTTATTTAATTATCGAGCAGAGAAAACAGTTGTTGAACAAGCAAATATTTTGTGGAAATATTCACCAGAATACTATTGTCAAGGTGAGTAGCTTCGGATTTTTTGGATGAAAATCTTTGTAATACTTTGTGTTTTAGACAATCTGAATGAAAGCAATTACACAACTTCATTCTTAGGTGTTCAATATTTCGTCGACTTAGCGATCATTGAGTATGCAACATCAACAGCAATGAATGATTTATCAAACGTAAGTCAAAGTTATACAAGCCATTCAAGCCGCTTGGTGGTATAGCATAGTCCAGAGGTCTGCAATATACTCGGAGCGAAATAAATAATTTTTAAGATAAAGTGGAATTTTACTAAAAAAAATTCAAAGTCTCGTAACTGGAAAAAAGTTTCTCTTTATCTTTATACATTCTTTTGTTAAATTTTTCCGTACAGTAAATCTGTTAAAAGAAAAAGAAAACAATGTGGCAGTAACAGAAGAAAAAATTTACACTATCCGAAGCTTTTAAGAACGGCTGCGAGCCCAGATTTTGTTTGAAGGGGTTGCAGGGGTGCAATAAAATGTTGAAGGGCTTAAGGTTCTGAATGATGTCCTGAGCAAGAGTTACCACAGTCTTACTAGAAGTCCAGTAAAAGTGTGGTAACTCTTGCTCAACATGCATCAGATACGGGCGCCACAATATCTCGAAAGCGACTTTTACGTTAACATCATTTCGTAACTGGAAGATTTCTCGGTAATGAAACATGGCAGCGAGCTCTGTATGGTCTTAAACTGAAGCTGACGCATGTGACTGAAGGTTCATACAGCCCAATTTTTGATATTCTGCCTAGATTTGTGGTTAGAAAAATATCCTTATGCAAGTTAATGAGACTTTTTCGAATTTTGGATTTTTGACGGTAACCATTAATTTAAAAAGTATAATATAAAAAATTCGGCTCTCTTAGCCTCTAATCACATGTGTTTTCGTCAACTTAAGACCAGCCCCAGCTCTCCACAACGTTTCTTTACTGAGAAATCTTCCAGCTACGAATAGCCCCATTTTGATCACTGTTATGGCCACCTCTCACAAACCATGCTAGATGGAGCCAAATAAAAATGTCGTCACCATACTATCACAAGGTCAGCATCTCCTAGAAGTATGGTCAAGGTCGGACTTATACTTTCAGAGTTAGGTTTCTGACGGCGAGCGAGCCTTAAAGAAAGTTCCCAAAAGTTCCCCAAGTAATGAGCGGTTAAAAGGTTACAAAACTTTTCCTGAAAAGATGTCGAAACAGGAATTCGCTTTACGATTTGCTTGTAATGTTTTGACTAAAAACGAGTTTATATTCGTAATTTCCATCTAGTTTCTGATTGAATGAGGGCTCATACGCGATACTAACCAAGAAAATAATTTTCAGCATCTGTAGAAATTAGTATTGACCAGACCGTATTAAAAAATGGATATTATATCGTATATATTATATCATCCCTCATTCGATTGCAAATTCGATTGTGATTATGAATACAGTGTTAGTTTTGCTTAAAAGGTAATAAGAGAGATATTCAGAAAACAGGGTTTTTTATTGCACCTGACTGGTATTAGAAATTATCTCTTCCACGACAAATGGAGTGGGCCAGATAGAAAATGATTGTAACTGAGCCTAGAATTGTCTGAAATCTAAAGGGGAAAAAAGAAATGAAATAAAAAATTAATTTTTTCCATACTTTCACACGTTTCTTTAAATTCACTTGTTGAAGCAACCTTTAGCAAAACGATCAATGTGGGTTTTTTTTGATTTTGACTCCAAATGACCATGATACCTTTATCTCATCCATAAGTCGAGAAAGATGGCGTTTTAAGCTCGCGTATTTTTGAGTTTTATGTATTGCATCGAGTTGTACAAAATAAGGCTTAGTAAAGTAAGGCCAGTTATGGAGCTGCTCACCATCGCACCTTTAGCACTTTCTCCAAAACTTACTCTTTATTCTTCCGAAACATAAACGCAAATATATCATGACAGTGTGGAGACATATCCTGATCGGGATATGAAAGGCATCCCCTTACTGCCTGAAGTGTAATTAACAAAGGTTTTTATCCTGATTAAAGATCCTAGAGTAGTTATGCGGAAAAAGCGTTTTATTTTACACAAGAGTGTCAGACCGTTTGCATTCTTTAAGTTTTTTCGGTGTTTCGCCATTTCGCATATTTCTAGCGATGTTCTAACTTTCTACGTGTAAAATGATGTTCTAGGTTCATTTAAATCATTTTGGTTGCCCCTCTTACTATGATGATCAATTATATTCTCAAAATAATTTTTTCCTTTGTATCTTTATCGCATTAATATTTATGATTACATTTATTATGAATCTGGGTTATATTGTTGAAGAACGACACAATAAAATAAAGGTATCTTTTATATTTCCCTCATTCTCTTAAACAGATTTTTATGTTCGAAGGAATATTTACGAATATTTGGTTTGAGCACATGGATCAATAATTTAGTTTGGATTTGTAGAGCAATGTGCTTTTATTTGTTGCTATGTGCATTCCTAACAGGAATGTTTATGGTAGTACTGCCCAGTACTAATCAGAAGTCAACTAGTGTGCGGAAAGCTATTTTCAATACAACACATTGGACTTTGGTATTAACCATGCTTTTTGTGTAAGTATTTTTTTATTAAAAAATGATACAATAGTTCATCTAATACAGAATGTTTTTTGTTGAAAGCAGTGTGACTCTATAATTTTACCGAATATTATTCGCAGTCGCTTGTTTCGTGCAAAAGTTTTCAAGTTTTCATAACATAGGGACTACTGTTGAGAGTATTTAACATTTGGAGAATTTTCAAATGAATTATCATTCGGGAGAATAGTCATTTATAGACTGAAAGGCGTCTCAGCAGCTTGAGAAAGATGAGGGCTTCACGGGTAGAAAATATTTTAGTGTCTTTGCCAAGGACGAAGGTATTTTTAGTAATTCATGGCATTTTTGGAAAACATCACATTTTATCGGTGTTTCTACCTCTTTGGTAGATGAAGTAGACTAGAACAAATTAGAGAAAGTCTCGTCTGTTTGTTATTTACAAAAAATTTTGATGCGGTCATAGTAGAATTCCGTGACAACAAAAGAATTTGGAAACGTGACATTTCGCTCAAAATCAAAAATATTTCGTTTTCTTCTACTCAAAAAATATTTCTAGGTCACACAAAGGTATGCTTCTTCTATCCGAGAAATTAGTTTTATGGTTTCTCCGTAAAAAAATGTCAAAGAGATGGAGGCGGAAAAATATCAAAATATTTCCTTAAGAAAGTGGTTAACTATCCCCGTTTGTTTTCTTAATTTTGTAGAGCGCAGCAAACTGTATATACTCTAAAGTGTTTTCGATGAACAGACATGTAATTGCTGAGAAGAGAAATTTTTACGACTTTCATACGATTTTGATCCTCTATTTAAATAATTTATAAAAAAGCTTAAAATTAAAGCTGGAACTGTTACTGTTACGCAGTTCGACAGAGCACATTAACTGACATATACCCACAAATTATGATTATAATTGAACCAGCTGTAATTGAGAAGATTCACACTTTTCATTCTGTTGTAGTTGGAGACTTCAAAGTAATTTTTTGAAACTTATACAAACATTTTCAAAGAAGCTAAGCATTTCGAAGAAAATTTTTCGCTGGCAGAGTTGTTGAGGGCAACACTTTTCATAATCTTAGTGGAGCTCTTTATCCAATTTCGCGGAAAAACTATGAAATAAATAAGAAATAAAATATTTTGAGCTTTAAGTTTACTTAAAATGTAAAGGATTTTACGTAAACTGTATTTCTTTCAAATTTTGTCCACTAAAGTAATAAAAGAGCTCTTCCTAGAGTATGAAAAGCATTGCCCTGAACAACCTTGCCACCAAGACGTTTCCTCAAAATGCTTAGTTTCTTTGGAAACGCTTGCATAAAGTTTTGTACGAGATAATGAAAAACTTAAGCTTTCATTTCAGAGCGATTTTGCTTATTTCTAATGTATCGAAAAGTCCACTACCATGACAAACTGAGAAACAAAGTACAGGATTTTGTAGCGCTTGATATATGCTTCGTTATATTTGTGCAAAAGAGTGAAAAAAAAAGCAATGCAAACATACAGCCTGCTGTGAACTGACATCAGTTTTTAAAAAAAACTATAAAAAGCTTACTATATAGAAAATTTTCCCGTCTTTTTCACATACACAATAACTATGAACAATTGTACATCTGAATATACTTGGATCAAGTTTTTCTCATTGTTGGTATATGACTTATAATAGGTCGAAAAGCAGCCGCTCCATCAAAAATTTTGACGAAAGTTTAAAATTAAAAAATTTACAACTTCAAGGGTATTCATCGTACCGCCGAGATTTCTTCAGGATATATAGCTATAGCACAGAACGCAGTCTACAAATTGGCATATTATGAGGTTAATTTCAGAGTGGTTCTTGAGAATATGATATATTATACGAAATCGACATCACTGATCACAAATGTCTCAGTTTGAGCTTGAGAAGACATTTCTATACAGTACCGAAAGGATGCTGATCCATTCCGTCACCTATACTGAACAGTTCAGTTCGCAGTCAAAATGGATTTTTCTCATGCTCTAGTGCTATAACCCTTCTATTATGGGGGGAGGGGAGCGGGTTACTCGTGATCAGCGATATCTATAGCTTATAGTTCATTCAGTTTTGAGCAATTTGAAAAAAGATTTGTCAAATTGCCGTTACAGTGCGATTTGGATGGTCCTCAAGGCCTTAAGGACTATCCAAAGCAACCGTTTTATTTTTGCAAAAATCTGATCCGATAGTTAGGAGTCAGTGCTGATTTCGAATGTGTTATTTCTTTTTAAAAGATATTATGAAGGAAAATTTCTGACCTTTACCTCCTAACCTCTTTTTTCCTAAAATTCATTCAACATGGTCAAATTTTTCGGAATTCTATAACTCGACTGTTGGCAAATAAACATGACGTTTTACTGCATCTTAGATTTCTCTAGCTTTTTTATGTTTTTAGTTATTCAATCCAAGTATCGACATTCAGCGTGTTCTTTAGTCAGCTTTTCAACACACGTAGGTTACAACAGTCTGTTCGTCTATAAACCACTTCTTTTCATTTGTTTTCCATTTTTAGCTCTAACAGTCAAAGTAGTTGGCTTTCTATTATGGGTTATAACATTTATTGATTATTATACGACAGCTCCATTAGGTGTTAAGTATTTCATGACCATGTTTCCAAATACAAGTTTGATGTTTATTATACAAGTTATGTTGCAATATGAACGAAAAAGTTGTAAGTTATTCTGTATGATTGTTATTAAACTCATTCAGAGCAATTTTTAACATAGTTTTCAGAAGAGTCTGATCTAAACTAAAATTTTCTTGTGCAATTAAAAAAAGAGGAGACAGTGAACTGCCATAGAGCACGACGGTAGGGGTGAATAAGATCATATTTTTGTTCCCGATATATTTCAAACAAAATTATATGGCCAATATTAACATCAAATTTTAAACTTAAAAACTATCACGGGCTCAGATTTTTGAAACTGATGATCTAGCCAGTTAACAAAAAACAGTTTTCGTAATACGGATTTTTTTTCGTACTGTGATAAGCTGCACGTTTTCTAGAGTGATAGCGGCTTCTGAATGAAAACCAGATAGTATCAAAGATGGACTTGAATCAATCAAGGACTTTACATATTACCAGCAAAGAAAAGAACGCATTTTTCTGAATTTTTTAGCGGTAATGATTAGATATGCACCGGGTCGAGCTACCCGAAATTCGAGCTACTCGAAATTCGAGCTACCCGAAATCCGAGCTACTCGAAATTCGAGCTACCCGAAATTCGAGCTACTCGAAATTCGAGCTACCCGAAATTCGAGCTACTCGAAATTAGTATTTTTTTAATGAAAAATGAAATCAAAACACTACTTCAATCTATTCTATTGACTCTTTGAGCTGATAAAATAGAAATAAAAAACCGTTAAAATATCGACATCAGGACACTCTCTAAATAATCTCACTT